AAAATACTGCCTTAACGTTTTGATTTTGATTTAGAGAACTCAAAAAGATTCACAAGACACACACCATTTTGAACTTGCTTGTGAGTTTACGATTTAAATCAAACTCATTTGTGAATAATTTAGAGTTGTCATAGACTTCATTAAACGTGAAGTCTTTTTTCAGCGACGTCCTATTCAAAATAATCTGGGAGCCTTTACTGTGATTAGACATGTGCCGGTATTTGGTAATGCGATATATCACGGTAATGAATATGGACACTATTGTTATTGTGGGCACTTCAAAATACCGTGAATAATTATTTATTACAAATTATTCAGATTTTGTGAATGCATTTTAAGAATATTTTTTAGGGGTGCTCCGATCAGGATTTTTGAGGCTGATCACAGAAAGTAGTATCTGCTGATACCGATCACCGATACCAATCTTTTTAAAGCCTTCTTTTTATAATTTATAACTATTTATAGTGATACTCCAATCAGAATTTTTAGACATTTATTCAGGGCCTGAATTTCATTTTTGAAAATGGGCGGAATTCTCCACTTAGGTGTCTCTTGTGAGAGGAGAAGCAGCTTTCACACAGGAGTCCGCTACTGATCCGTGGCTGTTTACCACAAACACAACATTTATCTATTATTTTCATTTCAAATACAAAACATTGTCACTGAAAATGTTTATTCAGCATTGCAATTATTTTTTTTTACACAGTACAGTAATACAATCTTTGTTTAAACACAACAAATATAAGCAACACATTATTCAGTGCTTTTTACTTTTGCATTTATTTATAGATTTATATATTAAGTTGCTCAAGCAAGTGGCAAAACATTTACTACATTTTCGTGTCAATCCATGTTCATTTTTACTGCAAACAATGCGCTGTTTCTTTAATTCAGTGCTTGCAGCGCAGCAAAAATAGCCTCGGTGCGGAAACGATCTCTGCACTGATGCAGACGCGCCGCTCCTGGAACGCACTGCCGGACCGCAACCGTGTGCAGTGAATGCTTTAATCCGTTAACATGAGCATGGAAAAAATAAGCACCACGTATGCACTGAAAACGGAGTAATGTGAACCTGGCATTATGTGTGTGCGCTGTGAGTGCGAGTGTGCATGAGCGCACGGTCCCCAGGAGAGCGCGCGAGCGCTGAATGGTTAAACATTGGCAAGAATTAAAAAGAAATGCAATTTATAAACTTTAGTGACGATGTGACACTGCCTCGCAAGTGACAATTCCTGTGTCAACTGTGCAGCATGCAGCTCGCTTATAGACAGACACGATGTGGTGATTTGAAGCCATTTGCGTATTTTGAGAGAGAAAGAGTGAGAGCGCGCGCGCGCGCAGTGATTCGCTCACCCTGTTTGTGAAATTACGTCTCACACAAAGTTTTCAAATGACTTTATAAGTTATTTAATGAAATAGCATTATAATTATTTTACCCACGCCGGACAGAGACTGAGACGGTGCCGCTGCATGTTGTGCCAAATCTCTCACAGCAGCGTCATCAGCTTGAGATCGTTTTTTGGATATCGGCCTTTTTAGAGACCGCCGATCGATCATCCCAACGTGATTATCGGCCGATTGTGATCGGTAGCCGATCAATCGGAGCACCCCTAATATTTTCCCCATCAAGTGGTTACAGTGCGCAACCGCTGTATGCTGCGTGAAAGACGGGGGAGCACTCTCATGTAAACAAGCACGGATGAGAAGCGCATGGCGGAACACGTGAAAGACGCTCTGGATGAAAGCGCACATTCACTCTCCGACAGCAGATGGCGCTAAACTGCAGAAATGCAGCCATTACCCCGGAACCCCATAAACAAAGCAGCTGCACTACTTTCTAAAATGTATTTAAATGGTTTAAACAGCCATTCAGATTTTTGTTTTCACAGTGGTGTTCATCACAGCACCAAATACTTAAATATTTAGACTCACTAGGTCATATGATGCGATTTCAATTTTTCCTTTCTCTTTGGAGTGTTACAAGCTCTTGGTGCATAAAGAAGATCTGTAAAGTTGCAAAGACTAAAGTCTCAAATCCAAAGAGATAGAGTAGGCTTGTTCTTTGTCATTTCTCCGATCACAAATCCAGACATTTTATGTTTGCGCGGCGCAATATGCAACGCAACGCATAAAAACACAGTATAAGTCATTATAATCCTTAATTATGTCCCCACTCGATGCAACAAATGCCTCGTTTGTAATGGGTTTTATTGGTTTTGTCTCGTCGCACCGGGACACACGGAAACACAGTATGGTAAGGGGCGTAACATTTCCATCACGCGCTTGAGGTATTCAGCCAATCACAACACACTGGATAGCTGGCCAATCAGAGCACACCTCGCTTTTCAGACCGATGAGCTTTGTCTCTGTTAATTAACATTAGTTAATTCATTAGTTAACATAAACTGCCAATGAAAAATTCTTCTAAACATTCATTAATCTTAGGTAATTTCAATATTTAATAACACGTTAAAATCAAAATGTGCAACTGTGTTATTTAATGAACTAACAGTTGTGTTTTTTTAACAAAGATTAAAAACTTCAGTAGCAAATGTAGCTATTGCTCATTATTAATTGTAACTTTTTAATTAATTTTAATTTTAACTTAAGTTTAATGAGATCATATTATAAAGTGTTACTTATTGGTCTTTATAATTCTTTTGCACTTTAATCTGTGTGAATTTTTTTTACTTTATGCATTTTTTTGTGTATTACTTTATTGTACACTATGTAAAGGCTCAGTTCTTTCTGTTATAAGAAAAAAGTTATTAAACCTGTTATAGTTTGGCAACACTTTTTTTGCAACTAAATTTCAATACCGTGATAATACCGTATACCGTGATAAAAGCATTAGCAATTAATTGCAACATGAAAATTTCATACCATCATATGCCTAACTGTGATATATACTTCAGTTTATGAAACTTAGTTAAGATACATATTCACATACACAAAACATTCAAGTCTTTTACAAAACGCAGTCACTGTTTAGTGTGGTTGAATCGACTGTCAGGGAAACTTTAGGTGAAATGCTGGAACCATAATAATAGTGTAGCGTCCTTCAGTTTTCTTACCTCAAAGACCTTCCTCTCAAGAGTTTTCACGTTTGTTGAGAGGGTTCTCAAGTTACAAGCTGCGAAATTCCTCTTTGGCCTGGGTAAAGCTGTGAAAGCCATCGGAGCAGTTCGAAAAACAAACCCACCACACCGGGGAAAGACCCACGCTGGTGCCCGGTGTGCTATTTGTGTTTGTGCCTGTGTTTATTTTACAAGAAGGGTCTGAAATGACAAGTTTCTTCTTTCACTTAGTTTTCCACAGCTTCTGTGTCTGGAGCTTTATTCACAAAGGTGGGGCTCATCCATACATCACCCACAGTTTGTTTTGCTTTTTATAAACATGCACTTGTGATGAAATTCCAGGCCTTAGGTGAGTGCGGACATGTGCCCGTTTCATCATCTTTAATGTGGGTGACCACCCTGACCTCAGACATATTACACACTGACTAAAAGAGTTTCTTCTCTTCTTAAGTGTTAAAGATCATCAGTTCTCCTGTTGGTGAGTGATTTTTTGGACGAGGTGGGAATCCATCAAGTTGTTATGACACATTCTGCAGCGATATTCCGTGTCAGGATTGCCATGGTAATGAGGCGCGCAAAGAGCAAATATAGTCATTGTGAGGAACTGTTGAGCTTGTAGGCTATTTTTGAAGGTTTACAATGGTAAGGTGTAGACATAGAAATATTTAATTTTTTCATAGCTCATTTAGCCCGGAATTAGGAGGCTTACACGAAACATCTGCAGTCGTATTTAAGCAAATGTTTGGTGAGCTTTTGTGCAGTATGTAATGGAATTGTTGGCTTTAGATGTATATCTAGTGTTTGTGTCTACAATGAGCATCATGTTGGCAAAACATGTGGTGCAATTGTACATTTAGGTAAAAGGTACTAGATGAAACTTGAAATCCACCTGAAGCCTGTGATTTCTGGGAAGTTCTCTAGGAATTTTGCCACCAAAGAAATTACCCGGTGTATTTTCAGTAATAAGGAGATCACAGTTTTGAAAGAAAAATATAATTAGTATAATTATCATCAGTTATTCACATAAGCATAATGTTTGAAGGGAAGCTACTTTGAACCTGTAGCTTGCTAAACTAAAAGCTACAGTAACACTTTAGTATAGGGACCAATTCTCACTATTAACTAGTTCCTTATTAGCATGCCTGTTGTTAACATAGTGGCTGTTTATTAGTACTTACAAAACACATATTCTCCATGACCATATTCTACATCTCTAATCCCATATCCAATACTTAAACTTAACAATTTCCTTACTAACTATTAAAGGGGTCATATGATGCTTTTTTAAAGATCATTATTATAAGCAGAAAATTAGGAGTTTACTGAGGCAAAAGTCATAGTTAGCCAAATTGTTGGACCTGAAAATAAAGTGTGACCAAAGCGATAATATATTTCATAACTCAACTGTAAAACATGTACAGTATAATTTGTATAACGGAGTTGAAAACCTTGTGGTGAATATTTATAGTTAAATGTTTCACGATAAATAATACTGAAATACTGAATCAGTGTGTTTCGGTTTGTCAGTCAGTGAATCAGTGAGTTGTTTTTAATTGATTCTTTCGAATGAACCGATTTACTAGAATGAATCAGACTTTTGAGAGAGAATGTTTAGCAACTTTGCTGAAAAGTTGTGTTTGCAAGACAATGTAACCTTAAAAACAGTGTTTTGTTGTGCTGCATCTTGGAAGAAAGTAGCTCATTCCTGGAAAACTGTTTTACACTATTTTGAACTCAATTGAGCTACTATCACACTACTGAAAAATGACCAGAAAAGTAATTAACCAAAAGTCCTGATGCATACGGATAAATTCTGCCAGATATTCTACCTGTCATTGCCATTTTCTTCCTTGTTTCAGTCTAGCAGTTCCTTACTTTTATTTGTCAGCTTTCAGCAACTGTTCTCTCTTCTTTTCCTCACAGAGAATCTTTAACTCCTTTGTGTACTCGGAGAAGACTTCAAATGGTGAAACGGAGGTGCAGCAGGTGAGTTACTCATCATCATCCCTTGATACTGAGTGAGTGCTCCGTGTGTGTGTGTGTGTGGTCAAGAGGGGCAAAGGACACCCATTAAAATTCTGCAGTTGCTGTCTGCTGTCTTTGAAGCCATCTTTGTGCTTTCTACGGCTGAAACACTAATTCCAACCTCTATTGACTGTGCCGTGTCCCTCCAAAACAAGCTCTAGAGAAATGAGAAGATGGTTGCTCATGCTTTAGCTCTTTCTAACATAAATGCTTTCGGCCCATGATCAAAACTCTCTGATTAGAAACCATTTTAAAACTCTGCGGTATTAGGAGAAGAGCTTGTTCAATTACAAACATGCCTGTCTGTCAATATGGATAACATTTAACAAAACGAGACAGGAAAATTATTTGTATTATACCCATGGCATAAATGTCTATTTTAAGTCTAAGTTAAGTTGTCATGGTTTTCAAGGTTTAAAGCTGAAATTGTGAGTACACACTATTTCAATGTAAAATGGTTACATAAAGGAAACGTTAAATCACATTTTTTTAAAAATCTTTTTTGCAATTTAAGTTATTTTTAAACAACCAAATTGTGATAATTCTTTTAACTGATGTTTTACATTTCTGCTATTATGATTTACTTTTCTTTTCTTCTTTCATTTTCATTTTTTTTTCTTTTTTCCCCACTATCAAACCAAATGATTGGGAATCACACCAAAGTATAATAATAACCAATATCACATACAGTATACCTTCATAAGTTTTAATATTGTTTGAGGAGATTGTTTGTAATGCACAACGTGTTTTAAGATATTTAAATATGAATAATTGTAGAAGCTACCTTTGATCTTTGGACATCCTTCAGAGTTTGTACAAGGTTTTTGCTTGAATTGATCAAGAACTACTTAAAGGGGTCATATGATGCGATTTCAATTTTTCCTTTCTCTTTGGAGTGTTACAAGCTCTTGGTGCATAAAAGAAGATCTGTAAAGTTGCAAAGACTAAAGTCTCAAATCCAAAGAGATATTCTTTATAAAAGTTAAGAGTCACGCAATATATTTAAAATCGCAATAATATTGTATCGTGACACAAGTATCGTGATAATATCATATCTTGAGGCCTCTGGTGATTCCCACCCCTAGTGACGTGGTTGTCACGGCCACCGTCACAGCCCTACCGCTGCCGTCATGTTGTGGAGACGCTGTGTGTTTCGTTATGAAAGCGAAACTACTTTGTTTGGCCTTCCAAAAGAGGACACAACTAGACATCAGTGGTTAAGTTGTATTTACAACACTGTTCCAGAACAGTTCAAACCAAATATTCAGATGTGTGTAGCACATTTTATGGAGGACGAGGACCAGTTTTCTGGGAGAGTAGCCTTCAATGCTGGTGTCTGTTTCTATAAAGTGAGGCAATTCCAACTTTGCAAGGACAGTCAAGCGCTTCTAACTCACAGCCTGTAAGTACGTTTTCATATTTAAAGGATTTGCCACTGACGATTCAAACACGAGTTTTAAGCAGTGTAGAGTAGTGCTTGTTGTTTGTCATTTCTCCGATCACAAATGCAGACATGGTTTTATGTTTATGTGGCGCGATGCAACGCAACGCGTAAAAAGACAGTATAAGCCATTATAACCAGTAATAATGTCCCCACTGGATGCAACAAATGCCTCGTTTTGAATGGATTTTATTGTTTTTGTCTCGTCGCACCGGGACATGACATCACAGTATGGTAGGGGCGTAACATTTCCGTCACACACTTGAGTTTAATTACAAATAATTTATAGTTAACAAAATTCCCAATACCCTGTTGGACTTTGATCTGCTCAAAATCATTTTATTTTATTTATTTATTTATTGCTCAAATTCGACTTATTCATTATTATTATTATTATTCAAATTCAATTGCATTTTTGTAACGCATTCATAAACTACTACTACAGTCCTTATGAAGCTATATTCTACAAGACAAAGCAATAACAGAATTTACATAAATTATCCTGTTCAAAATTGTAGACCCTTGGTCTTTAATATTGTGTCCTTTGCCTCCTTGAGAATCAGTAAGTTGTAGTTTTTGTCTATATATAGTCCATATATTTGTTATGCAGACTCTCAAACTAGTGCTGGGCGGTATGACCAAAAATTTATATCACGGTATTTTTCAAAATTATACCGGTTTCACGGTACAAGACGGTGTATTTTTTTTTCCATGCATGACCGGGTGTTAACCATATTTTCTGACATATACCGGTATTGCGGTATTTTCAAAATTCATATCATAACAAAAATAAAAACCGGTATTCGGTATGAACCGGTATACCGCCCAGCACTATCTCAAACTAAATACACTGTTTTTATGATCCCTTCTTTTTTCATTTTTATATTTTTACCTCAAAAATATATTATTATTTGGTGAGGTACATTAATGAGCACAACTGTGTATATAGTGTGTGCTTATGTATCATCACAGCTAAAAGAAAAATAATAATTTAGGCCACAGTAACCATGGAATTTCATTTCAGTACTTTCCCATCTGAAACTGTGGGAATGCATTTCTTTTCTCCGTCAGTTATAAGACAGTAAGCCTGTCATGCACTAGTGTGATTTATTCTTGCCATGGGCCTCTCCCTCTTGCCTACTCCAGCTTCTGTTTTTGCTGTAAGGCATAAAGAGCTTTCAATGCTAATACACTCTGTTCTGACCAGCCTCAAAACAAATCAGCATGAGTGGCAGCAACTGAGCTCGTCCCCTATGAATGTGTTTCTCAGCGACACACACACACACACACACACGCCCTGAGCAAGAACGGACAGGTTGTTACTCTTCACTTGGGTTTCCGTGCCAAGAGAAGCCCTTTTGTGTGAAATATCCCTGTACGCTGTCTCTCTCTCTCTCGTTCCTCTCACCCGCAGCTATTTACCGGCTGCTGGTGAGAGATTAAGCCGATCGCTGGCAGGTTTTTCTAGTGACACCTCGACAGCTAATTGCCAAACAGGGTTTTTGGGGGTAGACGCTGATAAACCGTTCTGCCTGCTGAGCCAATCGAGACCTGAACGTGTTTGATTATGAAGTGACTCAGGCTTTGTCATGCTATAATGCTGTTTTGTTGTTTCTCATTAATTGGTGCTGGATGTACTCATATAAAAAGTGAAGGAGATGTAGACGAAGAATTAAAATGATTACTCCACTATTTTGGATCTTGCCGCTGGTGTTGTTGACTAATCTGAGTAGATTCAGACTTATTGAAGTGTTACATTTAAGTGGAACATGTGAAACACCTTTTCCACTGATCAAGTAAAAACTGATCATTTTTACATGTATGAAAACTACTTCGTGTTAAAATGATTGACTTAATATACAGCAGTAAGTACACACAAATGTGTGAAATTTAGAAATGAATCATTTTATTTTTATATAATTTTGTGGTATGGTAATGCAGCCTAAATACAGTCTATTCTTAGCTCTGAAATCTGTATTGCATTAAATTGACCTAGTTTTAGTTTCTGTTTAATAGAGCTCTTCAGTTTGTTGTCCTAAAATCAGAAAGAGAATTAGCATATTCAAGAATTTCTTATTTGTTGAAGAATAAAAAATATGGAAATAATAATGGTTGTTAATTTGAGTAAAATGAAGTGAATTTTTGTTCTGCAACACACAAAATCCTCAGATTTTTAAACCATTGTGTGTTCTTGAAAGTATATAAAATATAAAAGTCAAGCATTTAAACTCATGTCTATGTCTCATTAAGTGGTTTTAACCAGACATTATTTTACTTCAACTCAAAAACCTTGTAAAACCCATTAGAACTTCCCAAGGAAAGCCAAAGTGAATTAATCTTCCATGTTAGCCAAAACATTTGTCATATTTGAACAGCTTTGATTGCCGTTAGTTTGCGGGAGGAAAAATTCAAAAATTATATTAATTAATTGATTTACGTTTATGGTGTCAAGTCCTGCAAAAAACATTTTTTTAATGAAATTTACGGTAAAATACCGGCAGCTGCAGTTGCCAGAACTTTACCATAAAAAATATGGCAGCAAAATTTTAGGATTTACAGACTTAACTTAAATTCACTGTAAAAACATGTATTTCATTAACTAATATAATGTTAATATGCCAACCTATTTTTGTATTTTTTATATACAGTTTTTACAGTTATTCACTGTTTACCTTTGTAAAGGTTATAAAATAACACTTTTAGATCTGTAACTACAAATCCCATTATTCTGGGTTCCTCTAAAAAAATGTGGCTTTCATCAGTTGCTCGTTTGGCAATGCTGTCAACATCTGCCAGTCTTGTGTACGCGCTACGCACACACATGGTAATAAAGGCCTGGCACTGCCGTTTGTGCAAGTTGAAAAGGCACCCTAGTGGAAAACGGCTCAAATTAGGATCATGTCCATGTCTTGTATGTACACAAAGACAAAGAAAGCCTGTCTTCTCTTATTGTCACCATTTTAATGAGCTAGGACACAGACCTTGTGAAATACCCAAACTAAGTTTTTTTACACAGTTTGTCATAAGATATTTATGAATTAGATAATTTCTTTGACATTAACTCTAGCTTGTATGTTTCATTTTTTGTTTAAAAAAATGTAGTTGATATTGTGGATTGAGCGCAATAACCTTAAATTATCTTCCAGCTCTCTTTCAAGGCTTGAAAGTTTGATTAGATTCTACAAAATTAGATACAAGGTTAGATAGTGTTATTTTCTGACTTGTCTGAATTGGGAATGTTTCCCTTTGGATTGAGAACTTGAAAGAATAACATTGAAGTTTAGCAGTAATGGCTGGAACAGGCAGCTTATTGGATGTTCACGGTTAATGGGTCATAGTACATTTCTCCAATACAGGACTTGGAGGATGAGATTTATCATTTGATTTTGCCTTAAAATTCAAGTCCTATGTAAAGTTGTTGTTAATGCAAGAGTTAATGCTTTTTATGTGTGTATGTTTTGGTTTACTAAAACATCTGGTGAAAAGAAAGTGGCTCATGTGTCAGTAATTTGCAGAAACTCTGCTGCTCTAGTTAATAACTTTCTCCAGGGAACTCCAGTCTGCAACGGGTAAAGCAGAACTCACAGAAACAAAGTTAATCAGCCGTAACTCCTTCACACAAGTGCAGTATAGACCCAAAGCTGAAACAACATCCCAGTTTTCTGAAACCTCTTCTGGTTTATGAACTCTGTTTACCCTTATAGAACCAAACCATTCTCCCAATGCCTGTGGCACTGCAGCAGCTGACAATGCATGTCTAATGGTGATCGATTACTAGTCTCCAAGTTTAGTTCAAGCTCTCTTTGATGTAGAGTGCAGGACTAGATTTGGAAAGCGAATTAATCTCAGCTTATTTCACAGGACTAATGGAAGGGGAGTTCTCAAACAAGAAGTGTGTATATCAAAGCGATATTTGATTAATTTATGCTATGTTTATAAAAAGGACAGCATTGCATTCAAATGGTCAATTTAAACCAAAGGCACCAAAATAAAAATTCTCAAACATTTCAGTCAATACTTCTAACTTCTACACTGGAAAACTGAAAATAAATGAATTATTGTTTAAATTAAATTAAATTAATTTAATCATATAATTATTAAAGTGTTTTGGTATAATTATGTTATTTATTGATTTATTTATTTTAATTAATTAATTAATTTTGTTTTGTTTTATTTATTTTTTTATTTTTTTGCCAAAAGTGAAAATAGCGCACTGACATTTTTGACCAAAATCATTGGGTGGCAAAAATGTAAGGGATTATTCACCCAAAACTGAAAATTGACATCATTTACTCACCCTCAAGTTGTTCTAAATCACACAAAATATGATATTTTGAAGAATGTTGGTGACCTAACAGTTGATAGCCATTGACTTCCATAGTATGGAGAGAGAAAAAAAACACTATGGAAGTCAATGGCTACTGTCAACTCTTTGGATATTCTTCAGAATATCTTTGTTTGTGTTTAACAGAATAAAGGAACTCATACAGGTTTGGAAGAAGTCGGGGGTGAGTAAATGATGACAGGTTTTTCATTTTGGGTGAACTAAATTGAACCCCAAAATTTGAGTTAGCATACTCATCAGGGAGACATTATTGAAATTTGGTGTGCATAGATATTAATACATCTGTTTTTATTGTTTTCAGCTAGCAAAAAAGATCCGTGAGAAGTTTAACCGGTACCTGGATGTGGTGAACAGGAACAAGCAGGTGGTGGAAGCCTCTTACACAGCCCACCTCACGTCAGGTAGTGGAAATTAATGAAATAGAAATATAAATTTTACACTGCCGTTTAAAGTTGTGTGTGTAAGAAATTATTACTTTTATTCAGTAAGGATACATTAAATTGATTTTGATCTTTCTATTCATCAAAGAATCTTTAAAAAAGGTAAAACAAAACAAAAAAACCCACTAAAATTAAGCAGTTTTTTTCCTTGAACCAAGTCAGCATATCCAAATGATTTCTGAAGTAGGTAGTGGAAATTAATGAAATATAAATATACATTTTACACTGCCGTTTAAAGTTGTGCGTGTAAGAAATTATTACTTTTATTCAGTAAGGATGCATTAAATTGATTTTGATCTTTCTATTCATCAAAGAATCTTTAAAAAAGGTAAAACAAAACAAAAAAAAAACACTAAAATTAAGCAGTTTTTTTCCTTGAACCAAGTCAGCATATCCAAATGATTTCTGAAGGATCATGTGACTCTGTAGACTGGAGTAATGACTGCTGAAAAATTCATTCATCACAGGAATAAATTACATTTTAAAATATATTAAAATGGAAAACAGATGTTTTAAATTGAAATAATATTTCACAATATTACTTTTTTTTTATTGTTATCAATTAAAGGCAAGCCCTGGTAAACATAAAATACTTCTTTCAAAAACATAAAAATTCTATACATTGGCTAGAATTTGCTCGCTATATTTTTTTTAAAATCTTTAGCTTTTTCCTTCAAGATTAAGCTTGCGTTTTTGTCAAAAAAACGTGCAGAAAATGTGCAGTTCTCAAAGGACTGTAAAATGTCTCTGTCCCCGAGGCACAGAAACATCTTTTACGATGTGTTGAAGGGAAGTAAAATTATAGTAGGCGTTTAGAAGACTACAAATAGAAGTTTACTTCAGGTTTTCCAGCATGTCATCCAGTGTCCAGTATCAAAGTCAAAGCATTGTAAGTATCACCTGAGGCTTGATGAAAAAGCATATAAGAGTTAGCTAGGAGCTGCTTTATCCTACAAGACAACACTTGGATGTATTTATGAATGACACATCATTTGGCTTAAACCTTCACACACCTGCCCAATCAGCTCATCGAGGTTTATCTAAACCGCCTCTTCAAGTTTTCTTAACAATGGAATGTACTATACACCGCCTTGATATTATCATGTTACATCCTGTTTGTGGGTTTTTGAAAAGCCTTTCATTATGACAGCATGATGAACAATATAATGTACATTTTTCTAAACTGTAGAAGTGAACAGTACTTTCGACAAGTAGGTTTACAATGCTGTACACTTACATGATACGAAAAATCCAGACATATCAGTGATCTCTAGAAAAGTCATTTTATTTTGCGTGAGGGTGGTCCAGCACATTGAGATCTTGTGACCTGCCGTGTCCAATCAAAGTTGTTCTTCAGTTAACTCAGTGGCCATCTTGGTAATGTTTTCTAGGCATTTTATGGCGCTTTTCCACTGCATGGTACTGCTCGGTACGGTTCACTTTTGGGGGGTTTTCCACTGTGTACAGTACCTGGTACCTGGTACTTTTTTTAGTACCACCTCGGTTGAGGTTCCAAGTGAACCGTACCGTTACCAAAACGTGACGTGTAAACTCTGCTGATCAACGCAGTGGAAAAGTGCCATTAGTGTAGCTCCTGTGTACTTGCTTGGGGAAAAACCAACATTTCCAAAACATCTCCAAAATGTTTGTCAGGATTTTGTTTTAGTAACATATTTAAAGGCAACTTGAGGACATTGGTTTCATAAGGTTAAATGACATTACAAAATTTTATGTAAAGGCAGTATAAGCATCAAGAATAAACATAAAAAACAAAACATAAAATAAAAGATGACCTCACACTTTTTTATGGAAGTGCCCTTTCCACAATGGAATAAAAAAAAAAGGTAATTTTGACTTTCTCACAATTCTGACTTTTTTTTCTTGCAATTCTGAGTTTTATCTCACAATTTAAACTTTTTCTCACAATTCAGAGAAAAAAATAATATTTCAAAATTGCAAGATACAAACTTAAAATTCCTCTTGCAATTCTAAGTTTACATCTTGCAATTAAAAATTGTTTTTGTTTTTTTGGAATAAAAAAGTAAAAAACGTAATTGCAACTCTTTATCCCACAGTTCATCCCAGAGTTTATATATTCCACTTTTAAATGTATATCTCTCAATTTGAGTTTATTTACATTTCTGAGAATCGTGAGATAAAGGCTTCCATACTTTTGCCCTCAAGGAATCACAAAAATGCCTGTGCTGTGATTAATGTAATAACGGAATGAATAGATGAAAATGTCATTTTCAGACAAGGTTTCTAGAGATTTAAAGCTTCCATATGACATCTGCTCTGGCATTGTGTCCTCTATCAGACCTCAGTTCAGCTGCCCTCATAAAGCCCAGTCACGGCCGAAAGATCAAATGTTTCACACCATATCGATGTCACATCCTCATCACACATCCCAGCGGTGTCTGTTCTCCCAGAAGCGCTGACCTCTGGCACAGGAGAATGCTTTAATCAACACTCACCCCCACTGCCTTCTGCTACACTTAACCAGCGATGAAACCGTCTAGAAATAGCCCCTTACTCAGGACGCATGTGATCGACTGCTCTCTCTCTCTTTCTCTGCTTAGGGGGATTTAAGTGTCGGTGGAGTGTTAAGCTACATTTGTGTATTGCCCAAAGGATGGTCTGCAAAACTAATGATGTTGAAGTGTGTGCATGTGGAGTCTGCAGTCTCCACATGCACATGTAATAAGGCTACAACCGTTATCACCAGTACCAAGGAAATACCATGGTTTGATGTTTCCAATGTTTCTTACATTTAAACAAGGTTTATATTGCAACAGTAACTGTGAGGTAAATCGATTCAGATTTTCAGGTAGTAGTAGAAAAACATTTCAGATATTCATTAAAATATATATATATTTTTTTATTTTATGGCAATAAATTTAGATCATCACATTCCTATTATAATTTTTTTTCACTTGGAGCTTTGTTTTTCCAGTGCTTACATTTCTTGATTAGGGTTTCTTCCCCCACAAACAAACTCTCATTCTCCTGATTTCCTTTCCTCCCTCTTTCACTCCTTTCTCATTCCCTGTTAAATGTTAATCCGGTCTGTATCTCCCAATCCTTTTGGAGCCAGACCGTTTGGACAGGCTCTGAGCCTGAGCTAATAAAGACGGCATTTCTGTGTGTGAGAGAGAGAGAGGGGGATGCAGAAAGGGAGCGAGAAGAGGGGCTTAAGTCACCATAAAGGGGTCTTAAACGCTGCTCTGCCGGACTGCATGCTTTCCTGAGTCAATGCAGGGTGAAATAGGGAACCTCTTTTCCCATAATCCCCCTTGAGCCTCCCTCTTAACTCTCGGAGACCGCTGTGCTAATGAAGCCCGCTCTGATAGACGCAGTGAGAGTGTGAGTGTGACAGACAGAGCTGATACCGCAGTGGTACGTGCATCTTATCTCCGCCGCGTGGCGAGACGTCACCGATCTGCCAGCACTTTATTAGCTGTGGAATAGAATCACAGGGACTTGTTCTTGTCACCGTCAAACATGAAGTGCCACTAAATGAGGAGTTCATCTCCGTACATGAGGACGGCACTTTGCTTAGTTGAAATATTAAGAGGCTAAAAGCGTTTGCTGCTCATAGACGGTATTAATAAAGAGATATGAATGACTGTGTACTGACACAGGTTAAACATTCATTTAGAATTACTGTGTTCTAATGCCTGATCGTACATTTAATTGTCATCTGACATATTATGTATTATATATTTCCCATTTTACTTTTAGCACAAAATACTACTTTGGGCGCTTAAGACTAAAGGATTTATTTTTCTTCTATTGATAAACCAATATATCAGCTTAGTTGGTTATTCAGCCATTTTTTGGCCAAGTGTTCATTCCCACTTGTGTCAGTTATAAAATCTAATGAACAAAAATAAAAAAAAAAGAGATTTTTGTTAATTATTATATTATGTTGTTATTATTATTTTTAAGTTGGTATCTGCATTCTGTAAACCGCATCATATGTTTAAAATGCAATATTGTTTGTTTATTTCTGTCTTTTTTATTTTTTTTTTATTTTTTGGTAATATACACATACTTTTTTTTAAAGAGATCATTTAAATGCATGTTTCTAATGTAACTGTGACATCAGGTATTGTTCAATATAATTATTTAATTAATTTCCAACCGAATCAAATGAACATTTGATTGGAATTTTTAGTTTTAAATGGTTGAGATCATGACAGTTGTCCTCAATGTTAGGATAATTTATTATGTGATTGAAATCGTATGCTTTGAAATTGAAATATGCAATTAGAAGTGAACAACAGATGTGTTTCAAGTTCTTGGTTATTTTCGGTCAGATGCGGTTTTTACACCATGCAAGCTGAACCAATACCTGAGGGCTTGTTTTTCCATTCATTCCTTTTTTTCCTCTCCTCATTCTTTCTGAATGTTTTTGCAGTGGCCCTAATTTGCATATTGAACCGAAATCAAACAAGTCTCTATAAGTCTCAAGCTTTTATTCAATATATATTTTCTCACTCGATCTTTCCCCCCCATTTCCCTTTTGCTCACTTGCTCTCCCATCTTTTTTCTGATGTATAATTCAAAGCAGCTTGCAAATTTATTTTTTATCTAGCACATTTGCTTTGCCACCACATGTAAAGTGTGTTGAAGGAGAATTCTAATGACTAGGGCCTGATGGGAATTAAATGTCTGAAGTTCAAAGCGCTTTGCACATCACAGCAGCCGTCAATCAAACCGCAGCCCCGCTCCGGCTCTGTGAGATGACGATAATAGGGAGAGAGAAATGAACCCGACGGTGAGAAAGACACTAGTTTAGTAATGGGTGAAGGAAAAGAACATACGTAGTTCATGTGGCCAAGGACAAATACGATGCATTTAGGGGAGAGCAGTGCAGCATGGGTATTGTGTGAAGAAGAACAGAAAGATATATGCAGTATCTGCCATCAGAACAGAGTCGGTTGGCAGGGGATGAGGAAATGATGGCTAGAGCTTGTTACAGAGATAGTGTGTGTTTGTGCAGCAGTGTTTTTGTAGAGTCATAAGGGAGATGAAAGCGAGTGTGGCAGTGCAAGATCTCTGGAGACACTGCTTAGATCAGTGCCCGATTAGTGCAGGCAGAGACCTGAAACAGCAGCATAATGGGTGGCTATGAAATATTATTTGTTTGGAGCACATTCTGAATAGACAAAACTCATGATTAAATCTAGTCGGGTTCCTGATCACTAATGGCCACTGTGCCACTAATCGTGTGCCGTCAACATGCAACTAACCATATAACTCTGCATAGATGGCACATTAAATTGGCTTATTATCAGTCAAGCCAAACAGAAGATGTTCCAGTATACTGTGTGTGTGTGTGTGTGTGTGTGTGTGTGTGTATACACACAAAAATGGTTATTTGGTTAATTTTTCCTCTCTCTTTAGTGTGAATCCATCTGAATGCCAAAATGGACGGGTTGAATGATGTCCTCATTTTCAAACCATGAACAAAACTATGCAAGATAAAGCAAGCCAGACTGCATTACTGCTTGGCTATTTGCAGTGTGGATAAACGTGTTTTTTGCCAGTCAGAGTGTGTTTTGTGTATTGCATTATTGGATTAATAACTGGAGCGTTTTAGTTTTTTTTGTATGAAGACTAAAATACTAAATATTAATAATTAAAATAAGATTTGAGTTTTCATCCTTAAAATTAATAGTATGACTTAATAGTATCATTTTTTTCTAAATATTAATATTTTTCTGTTTTTATATTTATATGTTATATGTACACTGTCATTCAGGTAAGATTTTTTTTTTTATGTTTTAGAAAGTGTTGTCTTAGTTTAGAAGTCTCTTTTGCTCACCAAAGCATTTATTTGAGCAAAAATACAGTAAAAAGTAATATTGTGAAGTGTTATTATAATTTGAAATAACCATTTGCTATTTTAAGATATTTTAAAATGCACAGCATATTATTGTGATGGTAAAGCTGAATTTTCAGCAGCTATTACTCCAGTCTTCAGTGTCACATGATCCTTCAGAAAACATTTTTTTTATTAATCTTAATATTTGGTGCTCAAGAATTTTTTTTTGCTGTCAATAATGTTGTTCAGCTTAATATTTTTGTGGAAACAGTGTTACTTTTTTTCAGGATTTTTTAAATGAATAGTGAGTTTGAAAGAAAATATTTTTTCCAACATAAAAAATCTCTCTACTGTCTTTTTAGTCAATTTAATGCATATTTGCTGAATAAAATTTTTCAGTAAATATTTTTTTTAAATCTTACTGAACCTTAGCATTTTCTTTTTATATTTATATTACTTCATAAAAGTGTTGGATGCTGTGAATAAAATCAAAAGTGTTCTCCCATCTGCTCTTCGTCATCCTTCTGTCCCCTCAGACTGCATCCCTCCATCTTTCTCTTTCATCTTCAGCACAAGAGCTGTGCAGCTGGTAGAAATAGATATCGACACAGTCTTCCTCATGGGGTTTTACCACACAACTGTAAAAGCTGTTATTATAGAATAAGAAACACTTCAGCTTCATTTTTCTTCATGACTGAGGCCTTGAACAAACGGAACACTCTCCGCTCAAGTGCTGGACCGTGTTTTCTTCAGTGTCACTTTCTAATTATCACTGGTTAAAAGAATCTGTACTGATGTTTTGTCTTCTCTCTGATTTCAGATTTGATGGTAATTTTAACACCAATGTTTCGAAGACTATCAGCTGTGATCGTCTCTCCCCTACCGTCAATAGTCGAGCTTTCAACCCAGGACGAGACCTCAACTCTGGTGTGTATAAAACACACACACACACACACACACACACAGTGTCTAAGCTTCAAAAACCCAAAGCCAATTTTCACTTATCCAGCTGCTGCCATAGCAACCATTTGCAAAGATAAATATTGCTTTCCTGACGGCAAATCTTCAAAGATTTTTTGGCCTTTAGAGTGAGACAAAAAAATGAACAAGGCTGTTGAATACGTGACCTTGCTGATTTGCACGTGGAAATACTTTATTTTCTCTCCTCACATCTCTCTGTTTTTATTCCTTTCCCTTTTAAGTGACCACAGCTTTGTACCTCTGTGCTCTTTTCCCCTTTTATATCTGCTCTACCTCACTAATCAGGAAGTGTATGTTTTTTATCACTTTATACACTGCGCCAGTGTCAACAGCTCCTCTTCATATCAGATACATCAGTGTTTTTGCAGTGGGAAAGCCTCCCAAGCCTCTTATAGTGGTTTACATACTAGACAAAAGAATACTAAGAGTCAGTAAATTCAGTGATGGTTTCAGCAAGTGGTTAGTCTGAATCCAACGTTGATCAATTCTTTAAAATAATCAGATTATATTTGTGAATTGGATTACATAGGTCCCCCGTTATATATTTCACTATTAAAATATCTAAAATGGTGCATAGGGACTCCAGTGAAATGTAGAATTGTTTTTTGAACCGTCTGTATGAACTGATTGGTAACACTTTAGTTTAGGGACCAATTCTTACTATTAACTAGTTACTTATACTGTAAGCATGCATATTACTAGCGTGTTGGCTGTTTATAATAATATATTATATTGAGTTTATTGAGGCAAAAGTTGTAGTTAATAGTGAGAATTGGTCCTTAAAGAGCAGGTTATGTGGGTTTTTGACAGTTTAGCAGCTAAACTTTAGCTGTGGGCACGATTCACTTGCATAAGTGTTTTTGTATTTTATGTCATTATTATAAGAACGGATTGGAGCACTATATTAGTGTTTTATGTAAAGGTTCTTTGCCAATGGTAGCGCTCGCTAACTCGCTCAAGGACTCCTCTCTGTGCCAATCACAACAGGCTTGGCCAGCTGACCAATCAGAGCAAAGTAGGCTTATGGAAGGGAGGGGTTTGCTCCAAACTTGCTTGGAACGAATCGTTTTGAAATCATTGGCAAATTACTCTAATATTAAATGTATATTCTGTGAAAATTACAATGTTTTCTGACCTTAGATGCATTTAAACCTGTTGTAGGGGACTCCAACACAATATTAGGACACTTTAAAATACCATATGACCTGCTCTTTAAACTAAAGTGTGACCAACAGATTCATTACACTAACAGCAATTTAAAAAAAAAAAATTTTTTTAAGCCACCTTGGTTCAGACTCTCCCTTCTTCTGGCTTCACACACTAGTTCTCCCTCCAGAACAGATGATCACAATTCATCTTCATACAGATGCTTATTTTTGTAAGGCAGTCATCAGGAGTTCATGTTACCACTCTCCCTCCATTTGTCACTGAATACTGACCCTGCTAACCATGCAGGCAGTCATCAGTCATATTTGATCCCTGTTAGTCTAAACATTGATGAAAAGAGGAGGGAGGGAGGAAGAGGGAGAAAAGAGACAAAACGATTAAGAGGGAGAAAAAACCTTAAGAATTGAGTGATGAGAGCGAGAAAGAGAGAGATAATGTTGTGTTTGTGTGTGTTGTGATGTCTTTGATTTATTTTGTAGGTTTGGTTCCTATTTCCCAACAGTTTCCCAATAGTTCTGTAAGAGTTCCCCCGACTGTCATAAGGCTGCGTCCCAACTTTATAGGCACTGAAAGTATGTACTTATTTTGTTGCTGAAAGCAGAATAAGTACTATTAAAGGCATAGTTCACCCCAAAATGAAAATTCTGTCATTAATTACTCACCCTCATGTCGTTCCAAACCCGTAAGATCTTCGTTCATCTTCAGAACACAAATTAAGATTTTTTTTTAATGAAATCCGAGAGCTTTCTGACCCTGCATAGACAGCAACGCAACTATCATGTTCAAGACCCAGAAAGGTAGTAAGGACATCATTAAAATAGTCCATGTGACATCAGTGATTCAACTGTAATTTTACGAAGCTACGAGAATACTTTTTGTGCGCAAAGAGTGGTTCAACCGCAATTTTATTAAGCTACGAGAATACTTTTTGTGCACAAAGAATACAAAAATAACGAGTTTATTCAACAATTTCTTCTCTTCCGTGTCAGACTTTGCTGCGCATTTAGGAGAGTACCACAACGCATGTAAGAAATTAATACTTTTAATTAGCAAAGATCCATTAAATAGTAATGTTATAAGAAATTTTTATTCCAAGTAAGTGTTCTTATTTTGAACTTTCTGTTCATCAAAAAAACCTAAAAAAAAATCATGATTCCACAATTAGCCAAGTTATTACAGTTTCACAGTTAGCCTTCAATAGCTATGTTTCCATCACCCTGTTTTTATGCGCATTTTGAAGTATCGCATCGGAAACGAGTGATGGAAACGGCAAATTTCAATGTCCTGCCCGCGAAATACGAACAGAGTCTGACCTGCCCACAAACACTTCCGCTTGTTAGTGTGTTTACATCATGTTGAGAAGACGCTGTGTTCAAGGATACCACAGAAATACAATTCGAAGCTTTTGTTGTGTGCTTGTCATTTTACCAAGGACTACTTCTCTAATCTTGGCTTTTATCTTCGTCGGCTTCTAATCTTCTTAATTTGGACTAACAAGCTCTCCGAACCACAACCTGTAAGTACGATTGATACGTTATGTGTACATTTTCAACTGAGTGCTCAAAATATCAAGTTTTTGTGCTAATATGTGATGTA